AGCACCACCGTTTATTAGCTGTTAACGTGTTGGCGTAGATGTTAATTGGACCCACCTCAGGAGTGACCCCAAGACTGACCAGTGCTAATAACAAGCACTCTACCCAGGGGGACATAGTGAGACTCTCAAAAAAAAAAAAAAAAATACCAGCACCACCGTTTATTAGCTGTTAACGTGTTGGCGTAGATGTTAATTGGACCCACCTCAGGAGTGACCCCAAGACTGACCAGTGCTAATAACAAGGTGTATGATTAGGGAGCACTCAGTACATGTTGGCTACTTGTATTAAATCCAGAGCTGCATGCACAGTACACGCTAACTCAGGGGAGCATCCTTTGTGGAAAAACATTTTGGAGCCAGCCAAAAAGTGACCACCATTTCAATTTTGGGAGGGGACTCTCTCCCAGGGAGATAGCAGGGGTGGTGATGCCCTTCCCAGACTCCCCAAGCTGGGGATCCAGGGAAGACTGTGTGGCAGTGCCCCCTGTGGCAGGCAGGGGCAACTGCAGGGCCATGCTGGCTGAGGTGGGAGTGGTCGAGGGAGGCCTGATCACTTGCCATCTTGCCCCATAGATCTACCGGAGGTGCTGGCTGGTGTTCCGGAAATCCTCCAGCAAGGGGCCCCAGCGGCTTGAGAAGTATCCAGATGAGAAGTCAGTGTGCCTCCGAGGCTGCCCCAAGGTTAGAGGGCCTGGGCCCTAGCTCCCCAGCCTGTAACCAAAGATGATTTGCTGAACCCTGTAGTCTGAGAACACCCTTTTGGGGAAGGCGGAGCCATAGGGGTGGCTAAAGGAGGTATGCCAACCTAGCTAAGTCTCTTGTGGATGCTGTCCCAGGTGACTGAGATCAGCAATGTCAAGTGTGTCACTCGGCTCCCCAAGGAGACCAAGCGGCAGGCGGTGGCCATCATATTCACTGATGACTCGGCACGAACCTTCACCTGTGACTCAGGTGAAGTATTGTGGTACAGGCCTCCCTCCATCTGGCCTCCCTGTGTGAAGGCAGAACAGAGCTAGCCCTGGGTGGAGACAGTGATTTGGGGTGCCTCTGAGGGAGGAGGCCCCCAGAATCGAGGTGAGGCAGGCAGGTGGAATACACTGCCTTTGTCCTCTCTGCTTTGCATGGTGGGATAATGCAGGCCAAGACAGATAGGGTCAGCTGCTGGGGGACCCTGAGCCAGCAGCATGATGAGTTCCCATTTTCTGCAGAGCTGGAGGCTGAAGAGTGGTACAAGACACTATCTGTGGAGTGTCTGGGGTCGCGGCTAAATGACATCAGTCTGGGAGAGCCTGACCTCCTGGCCCCAGGGGTGCAGTGTGAACAGACAGGTGACGACTGGCCCTGGCCCAGTGGGGAGGGGAGGGAGAGAAGGGGAGGAGGCCCCTCTCAGGCACCTCCAAGCCCACTGTGCTCTCCTACTCCAGACCGCTTCAATGTCTTCCTGCTGCCCTGCCCCAACCTGGACGTGTACGGCGAGTGCAAACTGCAGATCACCCACGAAAACATCTACCTCTGGGACATACACAACCCCCGTGTGAAGCTCGTCTCATGGCCCCTCTGTTCATTGCGCCGCTACGGCCGGGACGCAACACGCTTTACCTTCGAGGCTGGCCGGTAGGACCTTCTCACCTCCCCACCCGTGTCCTTCCATGCTTATGATGGTGGCTGCCATTTGCTCCATGTCAGGCACTATGCTAGGAACTTGGTTTATTTATCAGCCTAGCATTCTGAAGGGGAAATGTAATGTTCCCATTTTACAAATGAAGAAATCAAAGCTCAGAGAAGTAATTTGTCCATAGCAAAGTGAAGGTGTTTTAAACTGCTTCTGGCACTGGCACTTACTAGCTCTGTGATTATAGACCTGAGTCTGTCTCCTCATCTGTCAAATAGGTAAAAATAAAAAGTACCTAACCTCATAGAATTATGGTGAGGAATGGTATCCCTTATCCTGAACTCTGGAGTCAGCTTACCATGCACTTAAATTCTGTATGATCCTTTGCATAATCTTGGTCAAGTTACTTATCTTCTGTATGCCTCACTTTCATCTATAAAATGGTTTGAGAAAACTCCTAATAAAGAGGACACTATGCACAGTCTGAGAAGGCGGTGGTCGAGAAAACTGAGCTAATTTCTACAAAGCACTCAGACCACCACCAGGCACACAGGAAACACTTGGTATACCCGTACTGTGTGGTCAGATTCCCAGATTGCCCAGCCTGGGGTGCAGCCACAGCTTGTGAGGACATGTATGTGGTGTGGGGCCCACCACCTAGCCCTCCTGCTACCTGTGTCCTCAGGATGTGCGATGCTGGGGAAGGGCTCTACACCTTCCAGACACAGGAAGGGGAGCAGATTTACCAGCGGGTCCACAGTGCCACCCTGGCCATCGCCGAGCAGCACAAGCGTGTCCTGCTGGAGATGGAGAAGAATGTGAGGGTGAGACAGTGGGTGGGGGGGTGGGTGCCTGGGGTCTTCCAGCTGAATCACCAGCCAACATGCAGGGGCAGGCAGGGTCTCGGGCTTGCTGCTTGGGAATGATGCAAGCCGTTGCCCTCAGAGCTAACAGGAAGACCCTTCTCTGCCCCACAGCTGCTGAACAAGGGCACAGAACATTACTCGTATCCCTGCACACCCACCACCATGCTGCCCCGCAGTGCCTACTGGCACCACATCACGGGTTCCCAGAACATCGCTGAAGCTTCCAGCTACGCTGGTGAGTCACTTCCGTGCCCCACAACCACAGAATGACCACCCAGAAGCACAAGCTAGCCTGAAGAGAGGTCCAAAGACCTGTGGGGAGGGAGGCAGAGCTGGCTGGCGCAGGTAAGTGGCACGAGGACACATGAAGATTACGTTGTGCTCCTTATTGCCAGGAAGCTCTGTGGAGGATGAGGCCTACCGGGAAGGAGTCTTTTGACCTAGGTCTCAGTTCTGAGCCTGCATCTATGCCCACAGGTGAGGGATATGGGGCAGCCCAGGCCAGCTCAGAAACGGACCTCCTCAACAGATTCATCCTACTAAAGCCAAAGCCCAGCCAGGGGGACAGCAGTGAGGCCAAAACCCCCTCCCAGTGACAGTAGTGCTGGTGAACAGAGAAGACTGCTGGGGGCTGCCTGCAGCCTTCCGTGGACAGCCAGCCTCAAATGGCTCTTGGCCAAAAGCCTGAAGAAAGGGATCAAGCCGTCCCCCTCCTCGCCCCCAAGGGTGAGACTAGACCAAGGCAAGGGCTGGCCACACCACCTGAGCATGTGTGAAGGCTGGAGCTACCGTGGGACTATATATTGTTAATGATTTTAATATATACGGCTTATGACATATTCTATATTAATGAGATCCCCTCTATCCTTCCCTGCCAACACATACACATTTTTAATCCCATGACCAGGCTGGTTTTGAGTATAAGGGCAGCAGATTCCCTTGCCTCCATGGCACACCCCTCCTGCTGCCAGGACCTGTTTGAACTACGAGGGCCAGAGGAGGGGGACAGTCAGAACTCGAGGCTGGCACTCTGACTGCTGGCTTTTCCTGAACGGCCCAGGGGCCAAGATAGCAAGTGGCTTTTCAGTTCCTCTGGGCCTAGAACGGCACAGGAAGGACCTATACTTCCTCTGTGCCACTTGCCAGCTTTGTGCTTAGCATCTTAAGCAGAGGTGACATCTGGGTGATGCCTCAGGTGAAAAATCTGTTTTTAAAATATAATTTCCACACAGGCTCCTTCCTGCTTAGTAGGCTGAGAAGATGCCCTCAGGGTAGGGGTCGATTACCTCAGCCTTGCTGAAGAAGGCTAGAGCTTGTTCCTGCCCAGGGCCAGGCCAGGCGGGAAGGCTGCAGCAGGACTGCTGTGGGGAGCACCCCTGCTGCCCCCTCTCACTGACCAGGGGTAGATAATGCCCCAGCAGCGGGAGCCCCTCTGCCCAGTGTCTGGCCACCTTGGCCAGCCAAAAGCACTCAGAAACCAAGACCTTCCCATTTTCTCCTCCCCACATGGTGCTGAGGCTCCCTGCTGAAATGCAATTAAAGCAATTGATTTTCTAGTGCTGGTATTTATTGACTACCATGCAGAAGGGCTATCTTTCTATTCACATCAAACCTTTGGTTGCGTGGTTCTTTAGTTTTTTGGTTTTTTTAAAAATACTTTGGGTTCTGATTTGTGGGAATAGACCTTCTTGTAAATAACCACTATTCAAGTTGTGGCAGGAGGGTGATAAAGCAAAAGGCCCCTCCCAACAGAGCCTAGAGCCAGGGAGGTGGCTTAGCCAGCTGAGCTTTAAGTGACCCAGGGAATGACCACCCAGAGGGCACAAGTTAGCCTGAAGAGGGGAACTGGGGTCCACAGGCCTTCAGGGAAGGAGGCAGAGCTGGCTGGCTCAGCTAAGTGGCACGATGACGCATGAAGGAGATTATGTTGTGCTCTTTATTGCCAAAAATAAACACGTTTAAAAAGACAACTACTGTTAATAAATATCCCTTCCTTTCTCTACTGGATCTCTGGTTTTCTCTAGGCTGCCTAATTAACTGCTTTGGGTCTGTTCCCAGCTGGAGACAGTGCTGAGGGGTCAGGGCCAGAACCTTCATATGGAGAAAGGAAATACTGTACATGAGGGAGGGGGGTGCCCTGCCCTGGTTTAACTAAATGATCAGGCTATGAAGACTAACTGACAGTGAAGGAGTTCATAACTGCTGGGTAGAGAATGAAATACCGTGTTTATTGGGTGGGGGAGCAATAGCCAGGGTCTAATGCTGTTCTCAAACAGTTACCTCTCAAATTAAGTAACTAATTGTGCCAATAGGCTGGCCTTGGGGAAAGGATGAGAAGGGCTTATAGGCCCCCAAAATGAGGGTCCTCATACTTGGCCCTAACATGAGAAACCTAAGGTACAACTGTGAACATTTCTTTTGGGAAAAAAGGGTTTAAAGTAAAGAGATGGAATGACCAGGAGAGAAGTCCAGCGCTGCAGCTCTCAATAGGGAAGCAGCATGGCCCAACAGGCGCATTAGGAAACAGGACAGGCTGCATTCTGGCGAGCACTGTTGGCAATCAGCAAATAAAAAACTGTCCTGCCTGAGTAGCAGTGGCATCCCTAGTAATCTATCTGTGACCCCCTTCTAGCTGGTACTGATGCCCTGCCAAGAAGCTTGTGCAATAGCAGTCTAGGTCTCAGAAACTAGAAGTCCCGAGAGAGATCTGAAGCCCCACACTGGCTGCAGCTAGTTTATGGTTAGTACATCACTCTGGATCTCGTGGCTTAATTGAGTCTGTAAATCACTCAGTTTCTTCTTCAGGCCAGAGAGAGCTGAGAGGACGATGGTCTCAGGGCGCAAAGAGCCACAAGACTCCACATTGTAGTAAAACCTAGGAGGCAAGAGTCCAGTGAGAGCCCTCCTGGGGCAGGCTGGCCAGCCTGAGCTGTGGCCACAGACAACAGCTCCTCCTGTCTCCTCCTGGGTCCTGACTGCATTCCTACCAAGAACTGACCTTTCATCTAAAACTCTCATACGGTGTGGTTCCAAACACTCTGCAGGACCCCAGGGAGGCTACAGTACCTCAAGGAACTGTGAAAACCCCAACCCAATTCTCTAAATGTATTCCAGACTGAAGAGCAGTGGAAAATCAAGTAAGCAGGGACCAAGTGCAACAGCCCTTTCACATTCAGCAATGTTAAGACTTCAATCATTTCCACCCCTAGCTTAGACCTAGAGTCTCTTTTGGGGGATGGAAAGTCAGAATAGGAACAACTTGGATAACTGGAGGGCCCCTCTTTCTCATGGTGACCAAAGAGTATAATGACTAGCTCTTTGGCACATGCATAGAACATGGGCTTAGGTTAGCAGTTGCTGACCCCTATTCAGCTTATGACAACTGATACATGAGGGAGGGGCCTAACTCAGAGCCTGCACCAAAACCACGCAGTCTTACACACTCTACCTTCCCATGTGGGACTGGGGTCTTACCTCTCTGGCTTGCCGTTGGGGTCATAGGGAGCCTGTGACTCATCCTCATCCAGCTCCGAGTACTCACTCTTTGGCCTGAGGTCAAATGCAGGTCAGCAAAGGTTGCTACTGCTCCTTTTAGGGCACTTCAGTTTTTAAGAGAGCCCACCCCATCTCAGTCACTAGCAGCCATTTCCACACCAACCACCCACCCTGAACTCTGGCCTTCACTCTTATCTGGAACATACCATTCCTCGGGCTTGGGGTACACTGTGTGCCTCAGAGCATTGTCTGGATCGTATTCAAAAGCCACCCCTGCAGTAGGGTTCCACTTGGCATGTTCTTTGCCAAAACCTTTTTTGGCATAGGCTCTAAGTCTCAACTCCTGGCCCTTTCTCAACTTGACGATGAGGATGTCTGTAGGGAGAGGTATGAGTCAATCATGGGCCAGGTGAGGCCTGGTTCTCCAAAACCTGACTTGGAGTGCCACTAGGAGACCATGCATATCTGGAAAATGGGTCTAGAGTCAATTTACTGCCAAGGATACTACGCAGCACTACAGGCTGTTGTCCACACAGCGAAAGGCCAAGAAGGTATCTGCCCACTCCCTCCAGTGCCTTACCATCCTGTTCCACATAGTCATTGGGGTCATTATCTCGGCTCCGAGAAGTCACCTGTAGGGAGCCCAAACAGAAGCATTAGCTGCTCATCTCCCAACTACTTCTTCTGCCAACCACCTCCTAGCACCTCAAGAAGGAAAGGGCACTTGAGGTGGCAGGGATGTCTCTTAGGATCCCACTGCCAACTCATGGCATGGTGATAGCCTTCTCAGTCAAATCAATTCCTTGGCCTTTAAAAGGATTCTTGGGTGACAGAGGGTATACAGCACCAGTAATGCTTCTGCATGAGAAGAATGCAGAATTAGCACTTCTAGGTATCAGGTTAAGGCAGAGGATAACAGGGAAGGTCAACATTTTATAAGGATCAACCCCAATTTGGCCCAGTTAGAGACAGAAAGAGAAGAGCAGAGGCCCCAGGCTGGGCAGATACCCTCACGCACTGACCGGAATGACCCGATGGTGGTTGGAGACAAGGTCTCGAGATGTGACATGACGAGTCTGGTCTTCATTGCACCTCACGTCAAGGGTGAACTCCACCGAGCACTCAGGGCAGAACTCCTCACATGTGCAGTCCTGAGGCAGGAAGAGAAGCAGGAATGAATCCGCTTTATATGGTGAATCCTGACTTGGCTCCCTGCTTCCAATACCCAGTTCCTTAAGTTTCTTCAGCTGCAAAAAGGGGTTGTCACAGTCTCTAGGCTCTCATGGGATGGAACACTCTGGTACATCATTCTCATGGACTGCCCAAGTTGAGACAAGCTATATACACACGCTGGTACCCATCTTTCTTTCCCACCCACCAGCTGCCAGGCCACTCCTGGGAGACATGCTGTTAACATCTCCCTGTGGCCCACAGAGAACCAAGCCTATCAGAGGTTGCCTTCAGCTCTCCATGAACTAAGTAGGCCAGCCTGGGAATATAACCATCATTTAAAATAAAACAAACCAGGGAACAAGAGAAAAGTACTTTTCGGCTCGGCGCCTATGGCTCAACCGGCTAGGGCGCCAGCCACATACACCTAGGGTGGCTGGTTCGAATCCCCAGCCCGGACCCGCCAAAACAACAATGACGGCTGCAACCAAAAAATGGCCGAGCGTTGTGGCGGGCGCCTGTGGTCCCAGCTACTTGGGAGGCGGAGGCAGGAGACTCGCT